AAAAAAAAAAAAAAAAAAAAAAAAAAAAAAAATTCAAAAAAAATTAGAAAATACTTAAAAAAAAAGAAGGAAAAAATATAATAATAAAAATAGTAACTTAAAAAATGTATGAAAAAAATAAAAAAGAACTTAATATATTTATAAATATATCAAAAAAAAATAAAAAAAATTTATTTTAATAATTTAGTATTAAATACAAAATTAAGTATTATCCGTTGTAACTAAAAAATATATATTAAATTTATTTAAAAATTAAAAATTAAAAATATCTCTTTAGAAATATAAAAACAATGTAAGGAAATACATAATTATAAAAATAATTATTATGATATATTTTCTTTTTGTTTGATGTATTGAAGTTTTTAAAACTCATGGTGAGGTAATATTTTATCCTCACTTTATTATTTTATTATATATTTTTTTATTTTCATTTTTTGTTTATTTATTTTATTTTATTTTATTTAATAAAAACGTTAAGAATCTAAAAAAATAGTAGGCTAATTAAAAATTACTATTAAATTTTGAATGTGTAATGATGGAAATATGGTAAATCATTTTTTAAAAAAACCATACTTTATTTTTATTCTTCATTATACTTTTATTATATATATATATATATATATATATTTTAATAATATTTAATAACTGTAAAAAAAAAAAAAAAAAAAAAAAATACTAATTTTAATAACTTTATCGATTTTTATTTTTAATCTTTTATTCACATGCGTAAATATTTCAATTTTTTTTCTTTTTTTTCATTATAGTATAAAACTGTTTTTTAATTCAAAAAAAAAAAAAAAAATTTTATTATAATTAATATAAAATACTTATTTCTCTAAATTTTAAAATATTTTTAAAGTATTTTATAAAGGTTTTCAATTAATTAAAATTTTTTATGCATGCTTTAATTGTTTTTAATTTTTTCTTGTGTAATAATCTATTAGGATATATTTTATATTTTCCTTTTTTTTTTTTTTCCCATACTTTTATATTAATTTTAATTCTAATTTTAAATAATAAAAAGACATAAGGAAAATATTTAAAATAATGTGTGTTTTTTCATAAAAGTTCTAATATTACTTGGTAAGTAATCATAAAATAAAATTTACATTTAAAATATTTTGTTATATTGATAATATAAAAAATAGACAAGATATTTTTTTAATAAAAAGATAAAAAAAAGTGTTCATAAATAAATAGGTTAAAAAATAATAAAACTTAAGATATTTAATTTAAATTTTCCAAAACAATTCTTATATATATATATATATATATATATATATATATATATATATATATATATATATATATATATATATATTTATATATATATATATTATTTCTTTTCATCTTTTAATTGTTCCTTTTTGTTATTCAAAAATATATTTATAAAAAAAAGATGTATATTTTTATAATAATAGATATATGTTTTTTTATGTATTTTTAACTTTTATTTTTATTAAAAATTAAATATTTAATAATTTAAATTTTTACCTAATTATAGATTTAGGTGATAAATTATTCTCTTTTCATTTTTTTTTTTTTTTTTTTTATTTGTATTTCTATATAAAGTTAAAACATAATTTCAACTCTTCCTATTTTCTATCTGTATAATGAAATAAGAAGTTATAAAATTACACTAATAGCATCTTAATTTTTTTTAAAAATCTCTAATTATTTTTAATGTTTTTTAAATATTTCTTTTTTTATTTATAATTTGTTTGTTTTATTAAGAAAAAGGGGTATAAATAGGAAAAACAGTTTTTAAAAAATTTAGTATATTATGAAATTTTAGCATTCATCTTAAAAGAAAAAATTAAAGTATTTCCTTTTTTTTTAAAATAATTTTTCATTACACTATTTTAATAAAATTTATTAAAAATAACATATTTCTTATTTGGTTATTTAAGTGTCAAAACTTATACTGTTTCGTAATATTTTTATATATGTTATAAAAATATTACATATCTATTTAAAATTATCTTGTTTAAATTTTCATCCCTTTTAATAATATATATATGTTTTAATTAACAACTAATTTAAATTCGTCCAATGAGAAGACAAAAATATTGAAAAAGAAAAAAATACATAAAATAGTTTAAGAAAAAAAAGAAAATAAAGAAATTTTATATACTTATGTAAAACTTAAAAATGAATTATATTTAATTTTTAGAATTCAAATTAATGAAAAAACCAAAGGAGTAAAAAAAAAATTGGAAGAAAAATCTAAAAGGAAATAAAATCTATCAATTTAAAACATAAAGGAAAGTAGTAACTTTCACAATACAAAATTCAAAAAAAAAAAAAATAAAATAAAATAAAATAAAATGATGTTTACATAAATACTTAAAAAAATTAAATTACCAATAAAAAAAAAAAAAATACAGAATACAAAAATTAAATTAAAAAATAAAATATTATATAGGAAATTAAATATCTTCCTTAAAATATATTAAATTTAATAAAATAAATTCAAAATATAATATATTTTTTTTTTTTTTTTAAATATTTAGTAAAGTTAAATTCAAAAAAAATATTAACCATATGCTTTCTTTAATATTTATTTTTTTACATTTTCTTGAATTTTTATAATTTATAATTGAATATTTTTAATTTTTGTTTTCACTTTTAAAAAAAAAAAAAAAAAAAAAAAATTGACAATGTAAGAAAAGAAGAAACAAATCATAAAATCATTTGTAATTAAAATATTTTTTTTTTTTTAATTTTTTTTTTTTTCTTATAACATTATATATATGCATATTTAGTATCAATTATTAATTGAATATTTTTTTTTTTTCCGTTTTTTTAATCTCCATGAAATTTTTATAAGTATATAAATAAAAAATTGTATGCAATAGATATACATTTTTCTTTTTATTCTAATTAAATAGAATATCCATTTAAGATTATAATATATGTGAATATTCATCACAGAATTAATATAATATAATTTTAGAAATATTTTTTAATTGGTTTAAGAAAGATAAATTAAAATTTAGAAAAAATGAAAGTAATTTTAAAAAAAAGAAATGGAAAATTCATAGACTGTTTTGATTTAAGTCCTTCAACAACAGTTGAGGAATTCAAAGAAATTTTTTATAAAAAATGTTAAAAAAGGAATAAAATAAATATAATATCTTATACATTTATGCATTAAAAATATGCAAATTTTAAATAATAAAATCATAAAACATTATTTATAAATACCAATGATTTTCTTTTTTTTTTTTTTAGATCATTATTATCCTGAAAGGCAAAAATGGAATTTAGATAGTGGTAAATATTAAATGTATACAAATGAAGTATATATATTTAAAAAGAAAAAAAAAAAAAAAAAAAAAAANTTTAAAAAAAAAAAAAAAAAAAAAAAAAAAAAGTTAATATATTAGTATATTTGCAAATAGTAATAGATAATTAAATAATAGAAGTTTATAGTATTTTAGTAGAAAGAAAAAAATTAAAATATACAGCTTAGTAGAAGAAACCATAATACGTTATAGTGTTTTATAAAAACACAATTTAATATATATATATATATATATATATATATATATATATATTTTTATTATTTAAATTATTTTATACCAATTTTATAAGTATTACTATTTTATTTTATTTTATTTTTTTTTAAAGCTGCAGGAAAAACTTTAAAAAGTGGAACATTTGAAGAAAATGGAATCAAGGATAGTGATATATTAATATTTAAAGACCTTGGTAATTTTTTTTTTTTTTTCTTTTAACCATTTTAAATAAAAAAAGATATTAATATTTTTTAAGAATACTTATTTCTTTTTATTTATTTTATTTTTTTTTTTTTAGGAGTACAAATATCTTGGAGATTAGTTTATGTGATAGAATACTTGGGGCCTATTTTAATTTTTCCTTTTTTTTATTTTTGTGATAAATATATTTATTCATATTCAAATAAAAATAAAAATATTATTCAAATGTATGTTTTTTTTTTTTTTTTATAAGTTCACAAGTTTATAATTTATTATATTTTTATATATTTTATATATTATTAATCTATTTATTCTTTTTTTTTTTTTTTAATGAATACAGATTATCATTATGGTTTTTATTATTTCATTTTATAAAAAGAGAATTTGAATCTTTATTTGTTCATCGATTTAGTAATGCTACAATGCCAATTATCAGGGTTCCTATAAATTGTGGTCATTATTGGTAACTTTAAGATTTATGCTTACTTTTTTCTTTATTTTTATGTTAACATATATATGCATATTTTTTTTTTTTTTTTTTTTTTTAGGGTATTATGTGGTGTAAATATTGGATATTATTTATTTCATCCCTTATATAAACCTCATGATATAGTATCAAAACCATTTTTAGTATATTCTCTTTTCTTTGTGTTATTAGTAATATCTATATTAATACAAAATTTTTATAATAAAACTTTTTATTAATTACTTTATCTTATTTTTTTTAAATAGATTAAAACATATATTTAAGTGTATTTCTTTTTATTTTTATGTTTACTGTATCATATTGTAATATACACATATATGTTTCTTTTTTATTTAGATATTAGAATTTCTAAATTTAAAATGCCATTTGATATTAAGAAATTTAAGACCAAGAGGTAATAAATAATAAAAATATATTTTTTTTTTTTTTTTTTCGTACATTTTATATTTTTACATATATTGTTTATCTTTTAATTCTCCTTTTATAAAGGAACAAAAAATAGAGGAATACCTCATGGATATGGTTTTAAATATATATCTTGTGCAAATTATTTCTATGAAGTTTTAATTTGGGCTATATTTTCTATCATAACTAATACCTTAACAGGCAAGGAATTATAAATCAACTTTCTACAATAAAAAGATGAAAACTTTATGAAATTTTTTTTTTTTTTTTTTTTTAATATTATTTTTTAATTTTATTATTTTTTTTTTTTTCTAAAGGTTATATTTTTACTATAGTTGCCACTACACAAATGGCAATATGGGCTATAAAAAAACACAAAAATTATAAAAGAGAATTTCCAAATTATCCAAAGTAATATTTTTATTTTTTTTTTTTGTCTTTTTTTTTTTTTTCTTGTTTATTTTATCTTCTTTTTTTTTTTTTTTTCTTCTTCTACAGATCAAGAAAAGCAATATTTCCTTTTATTTTATGAGAATAAATAAAGAAAATTGATTATATATATTGTTGTTTTATTATATTTAACCAATTATCAAATTTAATTTATTTAAAAAAAAATCTATTAAACTTAAATCTACAAAATTAAAAACAAAGAGAATAAAAATGTTAAGAAAAAAAAAACAAATTTATTAAATTTGTTTTATTTTTGTTTTCATAACTCATAAAAGTTTATTTTTTCTTCAATTTTTTTTTTTTTTTTTATTAATATTTATGTAATTTTTTTTTTAAAAAGATAAAAAAAAAAAAAAAATTATACATATAAAAAAATAAACATTAAAAATTATTAAAAAAATTATATTTTTAAAATATATGAAAAATAAAAAAAATTATAATAAATTAATTTAGACAAAATTATAAATATAAATTCTAATTATTTATAACAAATTATATTCTAAAGTTAAAAGAAAAAGTACGGATGAATCAATAATTTATTCATATAATAATGTAAAAAGAAATATTATTTTTTACTTTTTTTTTTTTTTTTTAACTTAATTTTTCATAAAATAATTTTATCTATTTCAATAAAAAAAAAATTTAAATATTTTATATATATATATATACTAAAAAAAAAAAAATAAAATAAAATGATATGTTATCAAAATTCTTTATTTTTTTTTAATAATTATATTATTATATTTTATATCCATTGATCTTCATCATATTTTTTTCTTTTTTTTTTTTTGCGTTATTAAAAAAATGTTATATACGTATATTAATTAGTTTTGTATTTTATTAAACTTTATTCAGTACTATTTATATAATTTACATAATTAATATTTTTCATTTCATTTGAATACATTATTTTCATTTTATATGGATTTTGTTTTTATGTGTTAAACTTATAACTATTTTTTCTTTAGCTATCCTCCAATTTTTTTAAATTTCTTGTATATTTCGTTAAGCATTAAATTTTTATATCCATTAAGAATAACGTTAGAAATATTTTTTTCTTTTATATTATTATTTAAATTATTATTAATAGGTAAACATGTATAAACATTTAATATAGATATATATAATTTTTTAAATGAAAAACTTGTCTGATTATTTTTTATAACATTTGTTAAAACAATTCCTTTTAATCTATTATTTATATTTCTTTTAATTTCTATAATTTCACCTTTTAATGAATCAAAATTGTTTGTTGTAATTTCAACTAAATTATTTTTATTAAATAAAAAGAGAAAATAAATAAAACTATAATTAGTGTTGTATATTTTACATTTTTTTCTTTTTTTTTTTAACCTTTCCTTTTCTTTCCTTTCATGGGTTAATATTAATTCAGGTATATTTTCATTCATAATTTTTTTTAATAATTTTTTTAAAACTATTTTTTTTTTTGTTCACGTGAAAATATATAAAATTAAAATAAAATTTTACTTTTACTTTTTCATTTATTATATAAATTTTAATAAAATATATAATTTTTAACATTAATTTTTTTTTTTTATTTTTAATCAAATGCATTTGATCTTTTTTTTTAAGTATCAACTTATATTTTAAATAATATATATATATGTATTTTTATTTTTATTTTATTTTTTTTTTTTTTTTTTTGTATCTTTATATAT